ATTATTTTGCCGTCCACTGTTTACATATCCTTCTCTGAACTTTCACCTTCTTGCTGTAAGATCAGACCCCACTCCACCTGCATCTCCTGACAGCACTAAGTATGAAACTGACTAAGTAAGACTCTCCTTCCAGTTCCAACATTTGCTGTAGCATGTGAATGTCAAATCTAAATATCACAAAATTTTATTCTTCTGGGTCTCAGGAGGATTTATGATGACTTACAGCCATCTAGTGGCCATAAATCAAAAATGCACAAAACTGAGACCATCCCCAAAAAGGAAAGAAAAAGTTAAACGGCTAACTAAAAACGAAAAACTCGTACTTAGTTTCATTAGTAGTTATGATTATTGCCCTACAGTAAATGCAAAGCTGTGATACTGTGTTCCAGACATCTGAAGATGGGGTTTTACTACTTTTACTGCATCACTGTAGAATTTCCTACAGAAAATACACAATTCAACATAGAGAAACAGTTTCCTTTTGCTTTCTTTCTATTTTCTTAAGTCTTTCATTTCTCTCTGAATACTCCATTTCTTCCCAGAGTTCAAAAATATGGTTGTGGTTGAAAGATTGTTGTTGTGGTTGAAAGATTGGCTGTGCAGTATTGTATTGAATTCTCTGTATTTTACTTCCAAGGATCCAGATTTACTTCTAATTTGTAGAAGGTTAGTCATGGGAAATATTTCTGCAGGCTTTTAGGGTTCATTTCATTTATTTTCAGCCCAGTCCTTCTATCTGACAGGATCTTAAATTAAATCTTTCTTTTCCCCCCCCACATTTTTTCTTTAATTGAATCTTTGACACGGACAATTGATTGATTTGATAGGCATAAAATGTGTTTTTACACTAACAAACAGCTATTGTGCAAAAACATGGAATATTTTGCCATGGTGTGCAGTAAATGGTAAATGGACTGGTTGCTCACATTTATACATCAATGAACGCATCAAAGAGCAACTTTGGCTACAGTTTGGATATGCAGACTGCCAAAGATCAGACCACCAACCGTCCAGTCAGGAAGTTCTGCCTCCTAAGTAACAGTCACCCTGCTACCTTAAAACATCTGAGGAAAGTGGCAGGCAGATGAACAATGGAAGTCAAGAAGGGAGAGAAGACTGAGGTATACAAAAATACACAAAACTGCACTGAAAATCAGCAGCAGCAGGTCTTTATGGAGTGATGAACCCAAATTGTAATTTTTGTGCAAGTCGTCATTATTGTGTACAGAGGAGGTCAGGAGAGAGGTTTAGTAGTGAGTGTCAGCTATCTGTAAAACATGGTGGAGGCTCTGTCATGATTTGGGGCTACATTTTAGCAAGTAACGGCGTTACTAACGACATTACTTTTTCAGTAACGAGTAATCTAACTAATTACTATTTCTATCATTACAACGCCGTTACCGTTACTAACAAGAAAATGCGGTGTGGTCGCGTTACTATTTTTCAACAAACAGACGGTTGAAGCTGTCTTCAGCTTACTGCATCTTATATCAGTTGCACGGAAGTAGCTGACTTCGTAAATAATCTGGATGCTACAGCTTTAAGCAGCTCCGTGTGCTCCCGCGGACGGCAATCACTTTCTGGCACAACACCTGGAGCCAAGGGGGCAAAACAATCACATGAGTGCTGCTGTTTGACTGAGGGAGAATAAAGTAGTCGTGGTAAGGCAATCACATGACCACTTCAAGATGACAAAGTAACAAGGTGATATATACCAGTTATAAATTGTGTTGATAGGCCACGTAAAACATGAGTCATGATAAACAATATATACGCGGCGTTTTTTCCTCAATAGTTTCATCACGTTTACCGTCTAAGGAAAAGCGCTAGCAAGCACTCTCTGCTTATGAGCAAAAAACCCCCAAAAAACCAAAACAAAAAACAGCCCTTTCTTGTTGGTGGGAAAATGCACCATGTCGACCAATCAAAAATGATATGACAACATGACATTTGGTTGTTTAGGAAGAGGGGGAAGTTTTAGGAGTGACGGCGAGAAAGAGAGAGAGAGAGAGCAGAAAAAGAGAGAGAGCGAGTTTTGAGATGTGAGAGATGTGTGATGTTTAGCGTGTTTGGAGTGTGTAGTTAATGTGTTGTCTTGTGTAGTTAGTGTGTAGTGTTGTGGATAGTTTTGTGTTGTGTGTCAGAACAATGAGGCGACTGCTGTCTCCAGGTAGAAAACAGGAGTGATACATCTGCTGCTGTCTGACCTGCAGGTATCAGGCTGTGATGTTCTCCTTTATAGTGGACAGAAATAATTTTTTTTGGAGTGGCACAAATAATTTGTGTGGCATCTTATTGAATGCAGAACACCTGGTTGTTATGTAAATAGTTTGAAATGGTTATAAAAAAAAAGGGTAAAAGGTAAATGGCTGCAAATAACTTTGTTGTTTGCAAAACTTGAACAATTTATCTTTGCATTTAAAGTTGTGAAATATGATTCATTAAACATGTTTGTGGTTGTTACAGTAAAAAATATAACTTTTTTCTACTCAAATATTATGTTTTTGTCTGAATTTAGATCAATTGTGTTAATACAGTATGTCAAAATGAAAATATAACTGTAAATTCAGACACGTGAGGTTGTGCTGATGATACCAAAGAAGGCAAAGTAAATAGTTTTTAACGGTGAAATGTAGAGGAAACATCAGAAGTAGTTAAAAATAGCCAAATATACCCTGGACCCCAGAGGGTTAAACATTTTTTTTAAAGTAATGCAATAGTTACTTTTCAAATAATTGATTACTTTAGAATCTTGTAACTCAGTTACTAACTCAGTTACTTTTTTGAAGAAGTAACTAGTAGCTATAATTAATTACTTTCCCAACACTGGTGCTGTCAGGGATCTTCTCAAAATTGATGGAATTGCAGAAAAGTGCCATCAGAGTTTTAATCCAGCAAATAAAAACTATCTGGAAAGTCTCAGATTAGCAACCACTTCATTTTTTTTTAGCATGATTGCAAACACACTGTCAGTGCAGTAAAAGCACTCATGGATAGAAAACTACACAATTAAACACTATGAGTCACAGGTTGGCCTCCCCAGAGCCTGGACCTCAACATTATTGAAACAGCATGGGATTACGATGACAGAAAATGGATTAAAAGGCAGCCAGCACCAATAAAAAGAGCGTTGAATGTCCTTCGTGTAGCCTGGGATGCTTTTTCATTTCCACTTAAAATGGAAGAAATTACAAGAAAGAGAGTTCAGGCTATGTTGAGGAATTAAGGTGATCATACATAATGTTGATTTTCAAGTTCATTAGAATTGTACAAACTCTGTTTTTGCCTAATATATTGTATTGTAACTAATTACAACTTGGATAAGTTGCAGCTGTAAATGGATAAACAGCTAAGAAAATGCATCGATGGACTGATACACATTTTTAGTTTACAAAGATTTAGCAGATTTTTTAAAAATTATAGAAAATACAAAATAATCCATTATTAATTGGGACCACACTGCTATATTGACATTTTTCCTTTTCTTAAAAAGTTTATCCAAATATGAATACACATTTTCTCTCTCTTTTTTTTTTAACAAAAATAAAAAAAACAGTAAAAATTAAAGAGCTCTGAAAACATCCATAAAAATGACCACTACTGGAAGGCTTTTGAAATGAAGCAATGAGCGATATGTGATGCAGTTATAATCTAGCTTTTGGTGCTCATTGCAAATGTGCAAAGCTTTGAGACAATGAGGGTTAACCTGCTAATCCAAAAGTCAGTTTAGATCCATATCGTGAACTTTTTGTGCCGTTTGCTTGCAGAGCAGATGCATCAAAGGTTATGAAATAAAAGAAAAGTCAGAAAAAACAAGGGTGACATATATTTGTTTACCTGTAACCCTATGAATGCACTAATGCACCCTCTGAACATCAATGATTTCAAGGTTTTGTCTCACGGTAGGCTTTAACGTCTACTTTTTACAGTATGTAAAAAAAATGAAAGAAGCATAAAAAGTGGAGAAATATTAAAACAGTGCTTGTATGTTTTCCAGGTAACATTCAATTTTCAGTTAAAAAAAAAAAGGACTCCAGGACAGGTCTCCATTTCCATCAGGCTGATGGTCGATTGCGCTATAGAAAATTAGAAATCTTGAAAATTAGATGTAAAATTACAATAGGTGCTTTTGGCCATTCAGAGCCTAATAACTAATGAATAAGGTAGACGAATAATTCATAATAGAAATAACAGCTTGAGCATCAGCAGATGGATGAATAGCTTAAAGTATCAATTTAAAAAAGCTGATGAACTTTTCAGAGGCGAAGCAGCAGTACTTTAATCTTTACAGCAGGTGGCAGAATACCTCCAACGAACAAAAGCTTTAATAACGAAAGGAATCAAATGACCTATACAGCTTTGGATTAACAAATGAAATATCATGATATTTCATAAAGCCCTTATGCCAGTGGGGCAAAGACTAGACTTATATCACGCGTTCAGATTGTTTTATTGAGTGGTCTGGCAGACAATCAAGCAGCAGTCAATATTATGGAAATTAAATTAGCTGTATAGTGAGGAAGTCGTGTGCCCATTAAGGCATAAGGCTCAGTGCAATAAAAATGCCATTAAAAAGTCATCACAACAAAGGATATAAGATTACTTTCTACAAGGACACACTACACATCATTATTATGGAATGTATTTATACCCTCGTTTTGTTTGGTTTTTGGTTTGTTGTTTTGATTGTGTAAAATTTATGAACAACAAACTATTTTAAAAAAACAACAACAACAACAACCCACATGTCCTCTGAACTCCAGAAGTTGTATGTGGGACACGTCCTGACACTGGCAGTTTAAGGCATGGACATGTACCCGGTCATGAGGTCAAATGGATCGAACTTGTTAGCAAGCTCCAGTCTGATCGTTACATATTGATTTTCTAAGTTTTTTTTTTCCTTGCCCCAACAAAATGCGTAAAGTCAAACCCACTATCACATACCGGAAATAACCAACTTAAACGCAAGAGCGCTACTCGACTTGGGATAGGAGGAGCAGTCACGGGGTTTATTTTGAAGTTCCATTAATGTGCGCTGCTGCATACATGTTTCGCTCGGGACGTTTCAAAGTAGTCTGTAGAGCACGCTCCAGCGGTAGAAGTTTGTTGTGACTCGGTTTAGTCGGATGCTTGTTTTCCTCTGTCTGGTTTTCTCCTGCCTTGCTTTGCCCCCCCTCTCTCTTGCCTTTGGATGACCGACGTAACCTCACCTCTCGGCCGGTTGCTTGACCAGGGTCTCCTGCTGTCAAACTTTAGTTGACATGATTTGGCGCACCGACGACGGATGGACTTAAAGTTTTTGGGATTTTCATCGTTTGCCAGCCACTACAAACGTAAAGGACTTACTGGAACCACATTCGAACAAGTTGTCATTAACTTTTAACCAGCCAGAGACATGCAGAAGTTAAATTCCACCGGTACTCACGGCAGCATGCTCCCCCAGGATGAGGAGCTCCAGCGGCGGTTAGCTGACAGCGGAGGATCCGGGGAAGGGAAGGAGAACGGAGCTGGGAAACAATTCATCACCCAACCTGAGGTGGAAAGCTCGTTTTGCACCAAGAGGAAGATGCTTGTTTGTTTGGATGTGTTGTGCCTTTGTATTGGTAAGAATTTGTGTTACTATTTCACTTAACAAGTGTACTATTTTAAATCTTTAAATACCAAGATCAGTGTTTTAATGACTCTTGAATTCTGTATTTGCTTTTTCCCTAATGTCATAAACAAAGTTGGTTTCAGACAAGGGGCAAAAAAGCACAAACTATCCAACGCTGAATTGGGATTTGTTAAAGTTAACGAAGCTGCAAAGCATTTTTCCAGAAGTCAAGTGGAAACTGCTCAGACTGGAGCAGAAAACTTCAGCTCGGTCCCCTCTACATGCACGTGGGGGCAGGAGGGAGGGAAGAACCGGGGAAAATGTGGGTGGGGGCTCAGCTGGCAGCAGCTGAGTTGTCCCGGGAATTCATCAGTTCCCATGGCAACTCCCAAATTTCCCGGGAGAAGAACGTGGGAATAAGTATAAAAACGTGCCCCGTGCGTATGATCTGGTGCTGAATTACCTCTGTGCAGAGCTCTTTAGCCTCTCTCAGGGTTAGCTTACTGTTTGTAGCCAGTAATTCACCACAGTGAGCACAGAAGCGTTGCTTTAATATAACTAGCAAGCTTCACATCAAGAAACAAAAACTGCCAAGGCCACAATCAACACAGAAATGAGAGCCAACGTAGATACTAATCACAACCAAAAAAAGTTAACTTATTATGGAGAAAAACAAACTGGCAGTTGATTCATATCAAATAAACGATAAAAGCAGTAATAGTCACTAACACAGGCTATAACGTGATTGTCCAGATTGCTTTCATTCAGTAAAAGGAAAACAAATTGTCATTTTGTTCTTCCAAGTGTTTTAAGATTGGTTGAATACTCTCTCAGTGTATTCTTAAAATCTACTTATTATAGCCAGCGTGAGATTGAACTTGCAATGCAGCAGAACAAACAGAACCTCAAACACTCAAGTTGAAGAGTTATAATTGTTCAGAATCAAAGTAAAAGGTTGTTATGCATGTTGACATGTGCTTTAGGCCTGATTTTAGTGCCACCTTTTTAAAGATAGTAGAACCAAATCACATGTTTTGTTTTCTAATGATGTAATGAACCATATCTAAGGACTTTAATGCTTCTGTGTTGTTTTCAGGGCCAGTGCTAAGCCACAAAGGGTATAGGGAATATAGAAAAGTTAAAGGAAGAAAGAAAGAGTTCTACTTCCACCTGAAATTTGTAAAATACCTCAGAAAGGTATTTTTGCTTGTAATTGTTTCATTAACTGTACTTCAGCCCCTTTCTATTACTAGAAATCCTCCTAAAATTTGTACACAGAGTTTGTTTGTTTGCGTAATAATACATAATTCATAAATTCCATGCCGTCATCTCACATGACTGGGAAAGGGAAGGGAGCACCAGTGTTGTGTGAATTAGTATTTCAGCTGCAACTGAAGCCAGAACCCGTCTAGGCAGACCGACAGGTCTCAGGCTTGGCCGTTAAATCTTAGGAAGTAGCCTGGCAAACTCGATGACAGGTCGTGGTAGTCACTTTTCTTTTCTTCACTATGTTATTCTTAACCCCTGCAGGTATACTATTAGCTGTTTAGTTTGTGCACTTTTCTGCAGCTTTGTTTTGGGTTTAGGAAGTGGCTAGCAACCAAGCATCAGTCAGGAAAGTGTAGGAAATGGGCTCTCTCAGTTCTTCCCCTAAGACATAAACCAAGCACGCCACTAGCTTTCTCAAAAAACTGTGTGCTCTGACCCTTCTTAGCCCCGGTCTGAACAGATAACAGTTCTAAGCCTGTGTTGCTGGGCATCAAGCTGAACACAGCTGAGTGGATTTATAAAGTTTGTTGGACTAAAACGTTCAAGTCAAAGCTCAGCAATCTCTAAAGTCCCGGTTTGATTTGATTCTTTGATGTGTTCCTGGTACACTTTGGCAGCAAACGTGTCTGAGAACATACTGTTACACGTTTTCAAATAATGACTTGCAGTAATAATGCGAAGGCACAAGGTATTAGAGTTTGTGATTAAAGAGATTTATCTTACGGATTTTGAGAAGAAGTCTTTTTTTTCTGTTTTATTCAGCACAGTGAGACCACAACACTAGCTATTATATGTCACAGATAGCAATCAAATGTCCTGGAATAAGATGTAATTTACAGTACAAGGCATTATTTCCCCCTATTGTTGCATACAGTGCTGCATGGGCTATTGGATTACTGACTGTATCTGTCTCGCAGAAGCCTGACATTGACTCATCTATGGGCATTTGGCATTGAATGTCACCAATTGTTGGAAATGAATTGGACCCTTCATTTCTCTTGACCCTCATATGTCTGACTAATCAAAATTTCCCTTAAAAGTGCCTTTATCAGATTCCCTCAGACAGTTGACCCACCAGCGTTATTCATCCTTTAAAGGGGCTCATTCACAACTGTAAAAGTGGAATTTGGCCCTGAAGCACCGCCACTCTTTATGCAGTCAGCTGAAGAGGGATTCTGCAATGTTCTGAGGTTATCGCTGTCTCTCAAAGTCTCTTTAGGGCTTAATTCACATTTGAAGTGGCGACGTGAAACCAGTATGTTGTGGTGTTGAATGAGCTTTAATCTGTCTGTGGAATGTGGTGACATTGAACTCATTAACTGAGGCTTTGGCTGAGTTTACCTGACCTGATTCTTTCTCAACACCAGGCTTGTCTAATATTGTTGTACTTTGCGTATCATAGTGTTGATTATGGGGGTGTTCGGGCATGCACATGATGCCTGACAGAGATAGATTGTTTTGGTTTAGCTCAGTGCCAATAAGTTCCATGTGATTTGCAAACTGCAATTTGTTTTCAAGTCTTTGCCTGTGTGCTAAAGTGTGTGCATGCATTATTGCTGGGACTGGGACTCAAAGAGAGATGACAATATTTTTCACCCTGTGGCTGCATGTACTATGTAGAGCCCAGCCAAGCACATGTCAGGAGGTTTGAGGTTTTTGTCATATCTGACGAGCGTGCAGGGACAAGACTTCTAGACTATGCTGCTATTTCCCTCCTGCGCAGGTGGCCCTGACTCTATCATCGCCATAATAAAGTAACTCTCTTTAAGGGTAACTGAATGAAAACAGCACTTGAGTAGCCTGCTGCACAACAAAAGCTCATACAACAGTGAAACATAAAGAATGTTATGAGGCATGACTTTTCTCTAGAGGTTAATTACAGAGCTATGCCATTTTCACACATCCCTGTAATGCAAAAGATGATAGCCGTGGTTAAAATAATACAATTTACATCGATTGTGTTTTTGTGTACAATAGAAAGAGAAAGCTGGAAACAGTTGATTGCTGTTGTATGTGTGTCAAGACATGAAGCAGCTTGCCAGAACAAGATGACTGGTATCTACTTAAGTGATCTGAATACTGAAAGGCCTGCCTCTTTCTACCCTACAACCGCTTATATCCTCTTCTCTTTTTATTATCTTTTCTTCAGCCGAGCTCTACTTTAGGACCAAAGGTGAAAGGTGTCCCACTGATGTAGTGAGGCGTGTGAGTGTGTTTTACGTCTCCATGTGTTTTGGGCGGGTGTCAGATTTTTGTTAGAGGATTATGGGTTATACTTATTTGGCAGAGAAAGCTGCCAAGTGAGTCAGGCAGCAAAAGGCTGACATGTCAGTGCGTGCAGTTGTGTATAGGCTCCGAAATATTAAATTGTGTGCGTATGTGTAAAAGTGTGGGTGTGGGTGTTTGTATGTGTATGAGTCATCGCTGTTAACTACCCTACTACAGCTGCCATGTGCTTGCTGTTTGTTGACAAATTTGCCGGTCTTGTTTTGCTGTGCGTCTTAGGCCCTGACTCTCTGAAGTTATGGAAAACATTGGCGTCAGTCTGCGGCTGACAGATGGAGCGCCATTAAAAATGGCTCAGTCAAATCATTAGCTAGTGGAAGAACTGATTTCGCTTTCTGTCCCCTCTTAGTCTATTAATGCATCTCCTTCCCGTTTGACAGTGCTGCAGAGTTACAGGAATCCATTAAGTGCGCTGTTGCTCAGACAGACCACATGGGCCTATTCACTTCACTTCTCGGTACATCTTCCTTCACCCATTAGCACGCTGGAATCGACTAAGTCCCACGTATCTATAGGCTGAGGGACAAGTGAGAACTTGAATGAAGGAAAAGCCCCAAGGGTGGAGAGCGGAGTAAGATACGGAAAGACTGAGGAGGCAGAGGATCTACAGTAGGGGTCAGGGGTCAAACCCTTGGTTGCTCGAGGGATCCTATACACAGCTGTCTGTTTATGTCTCAGTGAGGAAGTAGTACTCAGAACCAGATAGGAAATGTTCAGACAGCAGATAGCTTCAAATGTACTTTTAATGAGACAGCTGTAATCTTCTCCTAGATGACGATTCCATAAGTGCCCAGGGTGGTCCATAGGTATTAGCTATAATGAGCGAATAAAGATGTGTGTATCGCTCTAATCCTCAGCGCTCATTAGCTCCAATGGGCCTGGAGAGGATACCAGAAGACTGTCTACCTGACTCCGAATACAGGCTGTAACTCCGCCTTTTCGTCTGTTAGAACTAACGATTTGTCTTCTGTCTGTCTCCCTATAAGAAAACTTAGACATTCCCTCTTGGCGCCATTGCATGGTTACCCATCATCGGGTACATTTTATCATTGTGTCTCATCTCACCTGCTGGAGACTATTCTCCCTTAATCATCTCAAGCTCTGACTGTCACTAACAGCACATTCCCCTGCAAATCCGAACACTCTGACAAAACAGCCCTGCAGGTTTGAACTTTTTCCATTCATAGAGTGCCACCGCAATCATGTTGTACCCTGCTAAATACCTCTCCAGCAGTCTAAACTAAAATCCTGTGTCATTTTCACATTGCAGACTGGCAGCTCTCACCTCACAATGCACGCCCTTACCTTCATGCCACAAAAACCACTGGGGAACTCTTTAAAGTTTCCAAGATATGCACCACAGTGGCGGGTTCTTTATGTTCTTGCTGAATCAGACAGACAGACAGACTGCTTCAAACTTCCCCGCTCAGGCCCTGAACTCCAGAGTCAGGCTCCAGGAAGCAAGGCACTGAAGTGTGGCGAGAACAGAAGCAACTGTGGGAAGCATGTCTCTACTGGCTAGTGGCAACAGTAACAGTGGAAAGGGCAGGCAAAAAATCTCCCGGTGCACTGTTAGGATTTGAAAAAAGCTAAGTTTTAAAGCGTCATATTGTTTTATTTTTCATGGTCATGGAGACGTAGGGTTTGCATTTGCTCTGTGTTGAGTTATTAATGTAGTGCATTAAACCTCCATAAATATTAACATTTTTGGCCAGCGAGGTACTTTGAGCGGTCGACTGTTTCTTTCTGGGGCCCCTGTTTTTGCCTACATTAATGAGTTGGGTATGGGCTGATAAATGAAGCAGTGGGTGTACTTAAACAGTGTGTTTGTGGAGTCCTGCTGCAGCAGATGTTGATGATAGCAGATGGTTAACAAAACTCTGTTGTGGCTTCTCAGCCCGCCTTTGTTCTTCACTTAAAAATCTCTCGTTGATGCCATCAGGGCAGACAAAACAGACCCATCTCCCAGAACAATCTGGCCAATTATGGGAAAGTAAAAGAGTGTGTGTGGGTGTGTGTGTCAGTAAGGAGGCAAACACTTACTCTTCCCCCATTTCTCCCTTACCTGGATTGGGCCACCAAGGAAGAACAGGATGTACCTGTCATTCACACACTGCACTTTAATTGAGTTTTTCGCCATCCGCGGTTGCCAATAATAATCACAGCCTTGGTGCAAATGACTTCACCCGCTGACTTACCTGCCCTACAGTACAACTGCCTGTGTGTGTTTGTTCTTTTGTGTGATAGAGAATTATGCAGTGAGGCGCACAGACTCTCTCTGGACTAACTTTTAAAACAGAGTCTTTTGTTTCAGGTACAAATTCTCAACTCTGCCTGTAATGATCTCAAACTGAGAAGGGATTAGATGAAATAACAGATCTTATGAAGACGGCTTCAGTCATTATTGCACAAATAATTGCAAAAACCCACCCAGTCCATCTGCAGACTGCCATTTATGAGCGTACTAGGAATGCCGTCACGCTGCTTCCTTGTAATGTTGTTACTGGGGATTATCAACCTCGCAGAGATTCAAATTACCACACTGCGCGATACAGTTCACTGGCTTATTATTTTTGAAAGGTTGACTTGAAGGTAAATAAGCACCTTAAAATTTAGTTGTGATCTCCTGGCATATGCAAGCTGGTGAAGTGCTCGGTGTGGGTGGACCACCCGTGAAGGGTGCTTCACAGGCCACGCTCATCCCGGTCCCAGGTCCTGCAGGCCACATGGCTCTGTGTTGACAGGTTACTAACAGTCTGTCCTCTAGCTTTATCAAAGGACAAAAGTAGAAAGAGGCCTGTGCAATCAAATATTATTGAGTGTGATGGAAACAGATGACCATTACTGTGGCTTGGAGATAGCTTTAGGATATGTCATGCTAATCCATGAGTATACACAGGCTGTTTTTTAGTGATAGAAGCAGCAGCATCCATACGAGTGAATTTAGCTCTGTGATAGTGATTGTGATGTCTGCATTAATGGCTGTGTTTTGGATCGTTAGGGGTTTTTTCTGTGGTTCATGGCTCTGGAATGGTTGGTTAATTTTTTCCAGGTGGTTTTTTTGTGGTGTGTTTTGGTTGTCTTGTTAATCTATGCGGCTGTGGATTTGGTTTGTTTGCATCTTAGTGTGGTTTTTTTTTTTTTATGTGTATGTGTTCGGTCTGTATGTGTGTGTCGGGGGGTATTCTGTCTGTTGAGGCGGGGTCGTGTTTACAGAGCGGGTCCCAGCAGAGCCCAGATCTCTGACCCTCACATTCCAGAACCACCACTAATCGCCTCCGTCTGCTGTTCTTTAAAGAGGAACCTTTGCTGCATCTCTCTTGGCTCCATCTTTCCAGTTTTTCTCACCCCAGTTTTACTGCCCCCCCACACACACACACACATTTGTCAATTCTACGCCCTTGTGGCCATGCATCGCGGCCTAGCTTTCAGTCTGACAATGAATTGATGTCAGAATTGAATTCGTCGACAATTGAAGTATGTCGACGAATTCCTGCCATCTGCCCTCTTTTCTTTGCACTCCTCCTTAAACCACTTTTTCATTTGCTGTTTTTTTTATTTCTTTATTTTGTTGCTTTTGGTTGTTGTTGTTCTCCTCTCACAGTGAGCTCATTCTGGGCAGTGGTCATAGATGTGTAAATTAGAACCAGAACAGTTTCCCAGAGAGAGGCACATATTCCCTCTTTTCCTCCCTTCCTCTTTCCCCTTCTTCTTTCTATCCTTTTGACTATTTGAAAGCATTCCTGCTTTGAATGTTAGGCCCAGTGAGCAGCACATTTTGGCTCTTGGAGCCAGCCCACTCCTCTGCCTCCTTTTGTGTCCTCTTGCAGGCCTTCCTGGTCTGGCTCTCTTTTGAGCATGTCTTGGCCAGGTGCAGAGGTTGGCTCACAGCTGCCTGACAGATGAAGTGAGAGTCTGTGGAGTGTTTTTCAGTCATGTTGTGAAAACATTTTGAATGTAGTTGTAAAGCCTAGAGGTTGACTGTGACATAGGAGCACAGGAGTGTGTTTGCTCAGTTTTTCTCTTGTGATATTATCAAGGAGCTTTTTAAACCACTAAACCACTTTTGTCATGTTTAGTGATTATTGCATGCAAAAATGGGGAAGCATTACAAGCCGTCTCTGACTGACGTGACACTTCCTTCGCCTTTAAAAAGTCTTACAGTATAAGTGTTTGGACTTTAATGGAGCTTCTCACCATTATCTCTGTGTCAATACAACAAAATACTGATTTCTGGAATCAGATGAGGGGCTTTTAATGGATTATATGGAAACCAGAAAGGGTCAAAAGAAGCCCCTGTTCAACACAAAATAGTACTTGTTGTTGTTTTAAGTATTTGTTTCATTATTAAATGCTAAAATGTATCATCAGTGTTTGATTACCCCCAAACACAGCATGTCTCTGTCAGTTTAAAAGTCCTTGTAAAATATCATCAGCTTTTTATTTTAGTGGATTGTTGTTATGTTGTTGTTATGTTGTTGTTATGTTGTTGTTATGTTGGGGCTTTTGCATAACACTTATTTGAAAGGAGCTGACTGTACTGGAGAAAAAATCTGGGTGTGGAATCAAATACCTCACGTCTCTGCTTGAGTATGACATGCATAGGGGTATTATGATCAAGTGATTCAAAAAGATGCATTTCATGCAGGTAACACAAAGGCAAACATGAACTCTCATTGAGGTTATTTATTTATCTACCAATTAGCACAAAAGCAAACACGGGTACTCCATTGATCTTAGCTAATGTAAACTCTCACTAGGATAACCACAAGATAGAAGATACGCTCATAATATAACTTCAAGGTGTATGACTAAAGGAGATGTTTTAATAAACAGGGCACACCTGTGTATATATAATCGATATGAATGCGTTTGTTATATGAGGCACGTCAGTGAGCTGAATTTCCATATGATGAATCTGTACACGTGTTATCTGGATGGGATGAGTGAGAGATTGGGGTCAGATGTGCGGTGTTTTCTCTCTGTGCTGGCGTCACAGGCTCTGCTATCTGTCTACAGGATGTTTCCCTCTCTCCTTCCCTGCCGTAACATCTCATGAAATATATGGACGCGGGCTTGTTTTTAGTCTTTGTTTTGTCTTTCTGTGAGGGCAGCTTGACTTTGACTGCAGAGTTTTTTTTTAACACGCACACATTTGACTTATGTCTTAATGAATCCCAGCCCTAATCACGTCTCCCGTGCCTATCAGTAGGTTCAGTAAGGTTGAATGAACAGCATGGGAGTTTAGTTGACTCTGTGTTTGGTTAAAGCTGATACGGAGCCAGTTTTGGCAGATCTCAAAGTGGACAAACTGTAGCTACCTGCTGTTCGTCAAATACTCATTTCCCACTCTTTTCTTTCAAAATTTGGTGATTTATCATGATTAAAGGAATGTTTTCAGACCCTTGTTTATGTGTTTGAGCGAGAATCCTTCTGGCCTGGTTTTAAATGTGTATCCTGTGTTCTTTTCAGTCACGTAGTCTGAGAGATTCTCTGGCAGGAGCAGAGTTTTGGCCTGGGAGCATTCCAACCAACAAGCAGGCCTGGGATGATAGGGAGAGGCACAGAGGTTAATGATTAGTCCCATGTCCTCGTTGCATTCCATGGGGTGACAAGGGGACATGGGATAAGGGACAGAGAAATGGAGCACGCTGGGACTTTAGAGGGATATTGGCTATTAGTGTTAAGTACAATGCAGAACAAAAGCCGTGCAGCTCAGCCCTCACCACCTTCCAATTCGTCATTAAAAGCTGGTTAAAACGCAAATTTTCCCCAGTGAACTTTGATCATGAGACTGTGAGGTGATGTTTACCTAAGCAAACCAGACCTTGGCCACTTTCACCTGATAGCGTAAATTCTTATAATTAGTGACCAGCCAGTAAACATAATGTGAGACAGTTGTTAATATAAGTTAAGACGGATTAAACTGTGAGTCACTGCTTTTGGCTTGAAGAAAACATACTTGTTTAACAATACACAGTGACTTTATTGTCTTCTTTGAGCACACTGATGTTTTTGTGTAACATGCTCTCAATAACTTCTTCCTCCTTCCTCATCTGAATTCTCCACTGTCATGCTGCCTCCATTTTTTTCACATCTTTTCATGTCTGTCAGCCTTCTCCTTCTCCCTGCTCCCATGTTGAAAGCAGCTATGTGTGGAATTCCCTGATCCCCAGGAATCTGGAACTCCTATCACCAAATGACTGACGCTTTAATGCTACCCCCCCTTTATTATGTTAGAAGGCCATTTTCATATGAGTAGACAGTACCGCTGTCCATGTATCGCGCTGTCTCTTTTATTTGTCATCGTTGTTACACAGACCACATCATAGATATTCATCAAGTCATCTTTTGTTTTTTTTTTTGTCTGCCTCCACTCCCTTTCCCCCCCCCCGACCCCTCCAGCCTCCATCCCATTTTTTGCATGCGAGATGAAGTTTGTGACTCCCTACAAACGAGGCTTTTTCTGCGGAGACCCCAGCATCACTTATCCCAACATAACGACCGAGGCCATCCCCGACAGCCTGCTCATCGCTGGTGGCATCGCCATCACTGGTGTAGCGGTAAGACAGTAATTGATGTTATGTGTAAGGACAAAGAGTTAAAGCTATCATCATCTTCTTATAGTGTAAATGTGCGTGTGTTTGCTTAAAAGTAAAACAAACATACTTTCACAGTATTTGTTCAGCCGGGCATTATGGCAAGTTAAAAGTTGTCTCCTGTCTTTGTTTCTTTCAGATCGCTGTAGGTGAATGCTATCGTGTACGTTTCCGAGGTGTGCACTCACGGGCTTTTGTTAGAAACTGCTATGTGTCATGCCTGTACAAGGAACTGGGAAGCTTCCTGTTTGGCTGTTGTATTGGTCAGTCTCTCACCAACATGGCCAAGCTAAGCGTAGGTCGCCTGAGACCCAACTTCCTGGATGTGTGCAACATCACATATGCATCCATTAACTGCAAGGAAGGCATCTATGTCCCTGCAGAGTCCATAGTCTGCAGTGCGGAGAAGAAGTTGGAGGAGGAGGCAAGGTGTGTGGTTTATGTGCAATTATCTGCTTTTCTCAGGGTGCTGTATACAGAAACCTAAGTTAATGTGTAACATTTGGCTGCTTTTATGGATCTTCTCTTTCAGGAAGTCCTTCTTTTCCGGCCATGCTTCCTTCGCGATGTACACAATGCTTTATCTGGCAGTAAGTCACCTTTGCTTTACAAACAAGCAAACACACCCAGTCTATCGGCGAACAAATCTGGAAAGTTGACCTCTACATACACCTGAGCTCATATTGTGTAATTACTGTATTCACCCCAGTGTTTATAGTATCAGAGGAAGATTACAGTTCTTGCTTTGTTTTCAGTTTTTAAAGACAGCACCAGCCCCTAGAGGCCGAGAACAATGCTAATTGAACATGTGGAAAGACACACCAAGCCATGTGCTGTTAAATACATTCACGGTTCCCGATCTTTGAGAGAACCAATTCTCTACAGGCAGCCAGCTTCCAACCAAAAGGGCTGGTGAGATAGGGAGGAGGAGGATTTGGAGTGGGGTAGAGAATGAGGGAGAATGTTTTCCACAGGGAACATGAATAGATGAAGAGACTCCACAGACAGAGGAGGCCTTGTTGTGGGTCTCATTTAGTCGAGGGGGGAGAGCTGAATATGCCTGCTGAGAGATCGACAGGCTTCTTTCAGCAATAGACACCCTCTCAACCCTCCAAGCCTCCCTCCCCATCTCTTCATTTTTCTCTCACAGCACAGTGCCCTGTAGTCATGGGCGCATTGTGAGAGAGAAGTGACAGTTAGAGGGAGGCAAAAGCACATTATTGTCTATGAAACGTTCACATACGTCACATAGCCATCATCGCTAGCTGCTAATTTATGGTTTTCAGGTGACATAAATATTTGTATTCAGCTGAGATGAATGAAAATAATTTGTTGCTTTTCAAAACTCAAAGTGAGGAGAAAACCTTCTCTATTTGTACAGTGCTGTGTCTTATTTCTGTATATTTGACATCTTCAAGTCATTGTGAGTACAGTACAGAAGGTCAGGAGAGAAGTTCAACAGTGAGTGTCTACAGCTATCTGTAAAACATGGTGGAGGCTCTGTCATGGTTTGAGGCTGTATTTCAGCCAGTGGCGTTGGGGATCTTGTCAGCATTGATGGAAATATGAATGAATGAAAGTACGTCAGATTTTGACTCACCGCTGAATACTATTTCTGAAGCATCTGATTGGCAGTCGTTTCATTTTTCAACGTGACAACGCAGTGCACTAAAACCATACCTGGATATAAAAATTCACAATGGAACACTGTCAGTCATAGACTGACCTCACAAGAGCAAATCAAAAACTTATGGAAGAGAACAGAACAAAAGGCAGCCAGCAGCTACAGAAGAGCTTTGAATATCCTTGAAGATGCCTGGAGAACTATTCTTGAAGACTACTTAAAGAAATTACAGGGAAGCTTGCCCAAGAGAATTCAGGTTATGTTCAAAAATAATAAAGAAAATATCAATTTATCTTTCAACAAATCACTACATTTATGTTTCAACAAATCACTACATCTATTTCTTATTTACCTAGCAAAAGATAAAGAAATGAGGGGTGGCTCATAATTACTGCACAGTTTTCTTTACAAGTCCACAGCAAAATGTACCTTTTTGAACAAAAAGAGAAAGAAAGGGATGAATATTGTGGCTGAGAGGAATGAAAGGGTAGCGAACCGAAAGGAAGAAGTGGCGTGACTAAAACAAAAAGCTAGTGTTTTTGTTTTTTTTCTCCACACAAGCACGCACACACAGAAGTTGCTGCTTACAAATTATTTGATAGAGCTTAGACAACCTAGTGAGAATGTGTCAGACTTGCAGCTACACGCCACCACGACCTTGCCAGCTACTTGTGTGTACAGCAGGAATAGTGACACCTGTTCTCAGTTAAGATAGGAAAAGGAGAGACAGCGAGGATTGGCTTGCCAGCAGTAATGTAGGCCACATGCTCCCCAGCGGCTGTTTGACTCAGACATACCTCCAGCCACCTCATAAAGCGAGCCCTGCATCTGCATTCAGCTCGACCTGTGACCCCATTTTCACGCACACAAACAGGACCTCTGTACTGTAGCGCTGATGCACGGGATGAGGATGAACAAAAGCAGGAAGTTGGGTTTAAAAAGTGCTAATGAAACCATGCCAAACTTCTCTTCCCCCCCTGTGGGCAGCAGATTAAATGGATGTTCATGTTCCACTTAGTTTATAGAACTTCAGTCATTAGACATAACCATAAATTTATGTTTGTGGGGGCATACATTAGCACATAAATGCCCATAGCCATATATTCACTTAGTAGTGAAAATAATAATGGTATTTATCTTCTTTTTTTTGCAGTTCTACCTGCAGGCACGGCTGTCGTGGCGAGGAGCTCGGCTATTGCGCCCACTTATACAGTTCTTCTTAGTAATGATCGCTGTCTACACCGGATTGAGCCGCATCTCAGACTACCGTCACCATCCCACTGACGTCCTCACAGGCTTTATTCAAGGAGGGCTCACCGCATACTGGGTGGTATGTTAAAATTCCCTGTTGTTTAAATAGCCTGAATACCAGTTATCCTTTTCCTCGCAGGGTTTGTTTCTCGCTGCTTTCTGCTGACTGTGTTAGCTCAAACACTATGCTTTCTCCCTCAATTTCCACTCTCTGTTTATAAACAGTGAGTGATTGACAGCATGTTTGGTCTGCGTATCTTTCCTGACATTTGTTTTTTTTTTTGTCTGTGCCTGCAGGCCTTCTATATCTCCACCATGTTTAAGCCCTGCGCCCGCCCAGACGGGTCTCCCACTAGCCTGTCCCTGGAGAGTCCACTGTCCAGCCAGCAAACTGTCTGTTAGCAGGTGCATGCAATCATTTCAGGAATCGGAGGATCAGAGAAGTGAACTGCAGAAATACAGGGAGAGCAGTAGATAGCACAGGTGAGGAGCACAAAGAACTGAGGAACTAGTTTAGAAGAGAGGATATCATTCTAAGAAAATATTGAGAGTACAATCTAACCTGCTTATACTTTTGGTATATTGATATACACGCAAACATACAGTCATCTAACACATATAGACATAAGATAAATGCAACAAGACTACAAGTCAAACCCGTCCAGTGGAACAAACTTTGTGGTAATATTAGAAATATTTTTTTTATATATGAAAAAAGATTAAAAGTGTTTATTTTTCAAGATAAGTTGTAGAAGCTGCTAAAGTTGAAAGCTAGTTTGTTTTCTTCTGGTATGGAGGGCTTTGGCAAGTGCTTTTGGTTAGCTTTCAAAGCCGAGCCAGTCACCCTTTGGTCTCGGGTTAGAGATGAGAAAATACCAGCGTCCGTTTTTGGTTTTTGATTCCTTGCTCAGCTTGGAAAACATTAGCCAGCAGCTGTTAACTGAGACCATCGGACCTCAGATGTAAAGACAGCTCTGTGCAAAGTGACGGAACAAGCACAGGCTTCCTAACGATCTTTGCCTTCAGTCGCACGACGTGCAACTAACCTAAAAAGTCGACCCTACACCACTGTGACTACATGATAAAACACATGTAAGCAAAGGACAACAATGTTTGAGCTGTGATAGAATGCCATCTTTCTCTTTTGAGTAACCAAGTCAGTGACTGGGAGCAATCTGACCAGGTAATTTCTCTTCCCATTCACTGCCACTTTCCTGCTACTAACCACTTTGACTGTGTCTCAGAGGTGGAGGTTTTGACTGAATTTTGTAACCTCTGACCTTTTGTCCCTGGACTCCAAACTCTTGAGCTGCACCTTGATTTATGCCACTCAGACAGGAGCCGTGCAGCCGTGATCCCAGCGGTCCTCCTGTGCGTCTTTATTAATAGCACTTGAACATAGTGGAACCCTCTAATTATAATCAATATTATATATTTTATCACAAGTTTGAATAATCAGTGTTTATTTTTGTTAATGTTCGACTCATACACTATATTCTTTTCGTGAAAAGATAATTATTCAAACTGAATGTAAATAGCAATTTCATTTTATAAACCACAGAACCACAGAATTTCAAGTATTAGTTCAAGTTTTGGACCGTTTTTACATGTTTGTGTAAGTGTTTGTATTTACGTTTTTGTCGATCGGGTACAGAGAGTTGCTTTTGTACCTGTTGTAACTACTAGACTGAGCCACAGATGTTATCAGAAAGCTATATATATTTTTGTGTTCCCAGATATTTTTGTTTGTTTGATTTGTCTGTGAATGCCACAGCGGCAGAAATAACCACTGTACTCAAAAGAAAACCAAACCATTAAACCATCGAATGTTGAATGTTTCAAAGTTCTTCTGTCTTTTTTTTAATGTAGACTGAAAAGTGCCTAGCACACCTACACATACTGAATGTCGATGTATCAGTGGTTTTTTTTGTTTTGTTTTGTTTTTTTTAAAGCCATTTAGCCTTTTCCTCATACGGGCATTCATTATTTACACGGAGGATACCAAACATGGTGTGGAGGTGAGGAAATCTTGGGCTGAAATAAAACAAACATTTAACAGAAAAAGTGATTTAACCATGTGGGGTTTTGAAGCTTCCACTCCAGTGCCCTCGTAGTTTCCTTCATCTCTTTCTCCTCCTTCACACCCTTCCTCGTTCTGCCCCTTCTCTGCACTCGGTCCTTTTCAAGTGCAGTGGAGCATGATGGGCTGTTTCGGGGGGTCATGCTACCATGGAGATGCTTAGCCAGATACAGGTCGGGGCGTCTGAGGCATTTTCTTTGATTTCTTTTTTTTCTCTCTCTCTCTCT